TACAGATTTTCATTAAAAATCAGAGATTTGCTGACAGTCAGTCCTAGTTCTTTGCTTACATTCTTTTCTCCATTTCTGTCCTATGTCCAGTGTAAGGATGTTCAGTTGGGCTATTATATGTCTGTAACTCTCCTTTCATGCATATAGGGTATAAATATCATGCAGTTATTTGATATCAGTAAAACTTTAAAATTCACTCCAAACTGATTATAATTTATACAGTTTGCAATTAATATCATTCTGGACAAATAAATCTCTGATATGTTTAACAAAATGTGTTCTCTTCATTCTTTTCATCCTACCATCATTATTCAGAAGTTTATCACTACCAGGTCCTAAGATCTTGGTTTAATTCCAATAACACCAAAATTACTTGGCTATTTTTTCTTATTATCTAAACATAGTTTTACAAGTATAATTTTCAACTTACACTAACTGCCTCCTCCAGTGATTTATCATACAGTTTTTTATATTCATGTTTAATCTGAATCATATCAATTTCACATCGGGTAGTGATGATTCTAACAAGGACTTGATCTTCTGTGCCCGCACCCTATATTGAAAACAATCAACATAAAACTCTTTGTGTTTAAATGAACAGAATTTAACATACTTTACTCATCTTTAACCATCACTATGACAGAGTATAAAGGCTTATATGTTCTTTAAATATCTCCAGTAAATTAACACCTGCCATATCATCTGTGTCCAAAATGTGCTTTCTCTCATATTCAACACTTTTTTTTTTTGGTATAAGAAGTAACCAAGAAATGTATTTGAGAAAACAGTATACAAATAATGCAACTATCTCAAAATAAGACAGAATTTAACAAAACACACAACTGTATGAAAGAAGAAATACTCCCTAGAAAGTTAAGCTGAAAATATTTTAAAGGCTAAAATTCAATGTGTTATTTTGTAGAGTTAAAAGCTAAACTGAAATGGTAAATGAATTCAAACCAAATGAGAATATTAGACCCTATTTTATAATAAAATTGTTTTTCTCATTAGTTATCAACTTTTCACTGTTTTCAAAATGTTAATCTACAGTTCACTTCTGTAAAACAACCAAGATTGGTATGTTTTACATTCATATTTTACTTACAAGTATGTAAACCCTGATCAACAGAGAACCTTAATTCTTTATAACTTTTGTTGCCACAGAACATTATCAATGAGTTTTATGATTATAAATAGTAGTTATAATCTAAATTAAAGTGATAGAATATTACAATAAAACACAGGGGAAGAACTTTACGATTTTAAGTTTAGCTACAATACTTAAATACAACACATTACAATTGCCATCAAAGTGAAGCTGTGTTTATACGACACATTACAATTACCATCAAAGTGAAGTTATGTGTATACGACACATTACAATTACCATCAAAGTGAAGCTGTGTTTATACAACACATTACAATTACCATCAAAGTGAAGCTGTGTTTATACAACACATTACAATTACCATCAAAGTGAAGCTGTGTTTATACAACACATTACAATTACCATCAAAGTGAAGTTGTGTTTATACAACATACTACAGGTGAAATAGGTGAGATACAGCAAAAGCAACATTACTATTTGATTCATTTTATATTTTATTCCTTAAAGCTTTCTAACAATCCTGACGTGTAAATCTGCGTTATGTTCATTCATTTACTCTCCATTTCTTTCGAGAGTATTTAGTTATTAGAAAAATATATAAAATATTCATAATAAGAAATAAAGTAACTTTCTGGAACTAATTTGAACTTATGTATGTTAATAATCTAGCACCAATAAAACTAACAGGTTCAATTTTCTACAAATAAATAAAGATGCAAAATAATTTAAAAATGACAATATGTACCTCTATAGCCTTGTGAAGCTTTTCCGCAAAGTACAGTGGAATATTGTCAACACATTTAGCTGAAAAATAAAGATCAAATTAACTACATATATACTGAAAGATAAAATCATTAGTTTTAAAAACCATTACCAAATAGCTAGACCAACTTGTAGAGGAACAACGAAGTTTGCAATGTTTTCATAATCATTAAAGTCATGTTTCAAAATTCCTGTCTCTACATCAAACTAAAGTACTCACCAGGAACCAGCTCCCCATCTCAAAATCAAACTAAATACTCACCAAGAACCAGCTCCCCGTCTCAAAATCAAACTAAAGTACTCACCAGGAACCAGCTACCATCTCAAAAT